AATGGTCCCATTACGTCCATATGAATAAGTTCCAAAATTTTGGTAGTAGTTTGATGTTGCAACATTGGGTGTGACATCATAAACTGCTTTATACTTTCACACCCATAACAACCTTCTCCTTCTCCAATATTAAGATCTGGTATATCTCTAATGACTCCTTTAGATATGACTTCCTTCATTCTTTTGAAATGAAGATGTCCAAGTTTTTGATTACATAGCTTCACTTCATCCTCCTTGGTTGTTGGGCAAGTTGAAGAATAAGTAATTATTTGAGATTCCCATAAATGTTTGTTGTCTTTGGACCTAACCCCTTTCATTAGAACAACTTCTTTCTAATTTTTACTAGACATTCTGATTTTGAGAAGTTGACTAGTAAGTATTTTATAAGGGTAATATAGGTTATATCGTATCGTCTCCATAGGGATTAATGAGAGGGAAAAACTATCGTTCTACAGTTTCAATTATTCTAAGTTTGTAAAACGGTTTGCATAAAAAATGTAGGAAAAGTAAATAAAGCAATAAAGAAAGCGATAAACAATCATTTGCATCCTAAGAGAATTCATTCTGGAATCACATTTCATTCTACCCGTCAAATACTTAAACTTTCTAATCAATTGGACGCAACCTAAACCACTCGTCAATACCCTCGTGTATCGCTCATACTAAGGCTATCTCTAATACAAAGTGAGACATCACCCGTATTTCTCTTAGAGGCGATTTTACGCGCAACTCAAATAATCTGGATACATTTCATAATCGATACCCACATGAATATTAAGACTAAATCTAAGTCTAGAATCTAGGGCCTAATAGATATTCATTCAATAAATATATTCATAAAGCTTATGTCTATGATAAACCAAAACTTTGCGATAAAGCAAAAATCAAGAATAAACACCGGTATTAATTTATAAAAGAGATTTCATACAATCCCATGATCAACAAATGTACATACAATAAGAGTAAAGATATACATATAACACCCACCATAGGGAAGAAGGATATGAATAGGAAACTTATCGCGGTGTCAACACAATCCGAGACCACCCATAGAAAATCGACATGATGAACCACTCAATGATGTTGCTTGAACCTCTAAGCTACAAAGAATTGGATCAGAGCTCCTCCAAGAGGGAAAGATATAATAAAAAACCTAGAAAATTTGTTTCTAAACTATTTATACAAAATTTATCTCAGTAGACCGCTCTTAGTGGGCTTGCCGCGCTAAGCAGGATGCGTATATTTAACACACTAAACCGCCTTAAATCGCGCTTAGCGGGACTTGCACGCTAAGCGGGCTCAAAAATAACTTCTGCCAAATCAGTCAAAATTGCGCATAATGTTCTAGAGGATGCTCTTAGGGCGGTCCCCTGAGTAGAACTTCTCAAAACTGGGCCTTTTATTTTGAAAACGCGCATCTGGAGTTGTGCCATCGACACTTTATTCCTCAATGCTCCAAAATGCAACAAATACCTAAAAAATAAGTAATATGTATCAAATGATACATAAATGAATCAGAAACACAAATATATACAAACTAAACATATTTACACAAAAGTCAGGTTTATTCAACGATTATTAACAACAAAGAGTCGATAAATGCAACAAAAAGTATATACAGAAATAGCTACAATTTGCACTTATCACTTACGCTAATATGATTAGTATTCAATCTTTTGACAAACAACACATCTTCCAACCTAGGACAGCCATCATACATCAGCTTTCCCACTCCTTTGATTTCTCCATTAAAACCATCACCAAATCTAACATAGCCTGTAGGATAAGGCTTAACATCCACCAACATCTTCTGGACCCTTGTTATATGTCTAGAACACCCACTGTCAAAGTAACAGTCTTCACTTGTTGAGTCTCTCACAGAAGTATGAGCTATAAGGTTAATGTCCCTATTTTGCAATACTCCTCTTCTTGCTCACTTTCTTAGTCTTGGGATGAACTGGAGAGTTTTAAATCCATATAATTAAAAGCAGAATGGCTTTATGTGACCAGTCTCACCCAATATTGACATCTCCAAGAAGATTGAGATTAATTTTGAAATTCAATGTTTCTACCAGGATGTTATAACATGTGCCTGGACATGTTGATCTCTTTCTTCTTCTCAGCCAGAAAGACCTTCTCCTCTGACATTCTCTTTAGTTTATTATTAGATTGATACTAATCCTTTGTATCTTCATTTTCTTTCACCATACTAATTGAATTAGTTATGTTATCAATCTTTGAATTTAAATGAGTTACCTCAATTTAAAGATGAGAGACAATACTAAGAAGTTACTTCCTTTCATCCTCCAACTCAGTGATGATTTCCCTCTGTTCTTCCTCTTTCTCGAGGCTTTATTCACACTTATAACAGGGATCCTTGTATGATACATGTAGATCTTCATAAAGATAAATCTCATCACAGTCTTCTACTTCATATGTCCATTTTCCAGATAGAGCTAACATAAGTTTGGCAGACTCATAACCATCTTCATCTTTCGACTTATCATCATCAGACCAAGAAGCAGTGAATCCCTTTTTCTGCCTTTTGAGAAAGATGGGACATTCTGGTTTGATATGACCATAAGCTTCACACTCATAACACCTAATGCCTTTGCTTTGATTGACCTTTTCTTCATACATAGTATTATTTTAAATATTTTTTGTATTACTGATGTCAGATGAGATGTTCCTGACATTTGGCCATCCTCTTATGTCCAACCTTTATAATACCCTATTGAATTGATTTCCAAGAAGAATAATGGTATTAGACATATCCTCATTAGTGTCTAGTTCAACTTGACCTTTATTACCTTCAGAGTTAGATACAAAAGCCATGATTTTGTTCTTTTTCTCATTTTTGTCACCAATGGCAAACTCAAATGTTTGAAGTGACCCAATAAGTTCATAAATTCTCATGTTGTTGATGTCCTGAGCTTCTTCAATAATTGTGACCTTCATATAGAATTTCCTAGGCAAGGACCTAAGGATCTTTCTAACCAACTTTGCTTCTGACATCTTCTCTCCCAAGGCACTTGATGCACTAGAAATTTCAAGAATATTCATTTGATATTCTTGAATTGTCTTATCATCATTCATCTTCAAGTTCTCAAATTTGGAGGTGAGAAGCTGAAGTCTTGAGATCATCACTTTAAAAGGTACATTCATAAGTTTCCTTGAGAATTTCCCAAGCCTCCTTAGCCACAATACACATGTTAATCAACCTGAAACATTTTTGTCTACTCCGTTGAATAGAGTATTTAAATCATTGGAATTTCCAATGGCTTCTTTATCATCATCTTCATTCCACTCTTCTTCAGGTTTGATTGTATCAGTTTCAACCTCTTTTCCACCTTAGTCAATGATCTTCACAACATGATTCTTCTATCCTTTTAGAATAGCCTTTTAAGTTTTGCTATTTATAGCTTTGAGAAAAGCCATCATACGAGCTTTCCACCAGTCATAATTAGAACCATCCAACATGGGTGGTATATTATTATAACCTTCTTCTCTCTCCATATTACCGGAAAATATATCTTGAGTCTCACCCAGTAAATAGAATAGGGCGCCTGCTCTAATACCAAATGAAATTTTGGCATGCACACAAAAAAAAAGTAAAGACATATGTCTTAACAACACATAATGTTATAACATATTTTATGACATCCGCTAATAGAACAACAAACAATAACACAACATAACTATAACTTGCAGAAAAAGAAAGTTAAAAATGATATGTTAACCCAGTTCAGTGCTAACTCACCTACTATGGGGGCTACCAAGCCAGGAAAGAAATACACTATTAGCAATATTAGTTTGAAGCTAAACTAGTCCCATGCTTACAACTTCGCGCTTAATCCCTACCAAGTGCAAATTCTACCTAGGTCCTCCTTAGATATGACAAATCAACATCCTACTTCCAATCACCATAGTGATGAAAGACATATCCCAATCATAGGCGTGGTCTATAAACAAGTTACAATCACATCAACATGCTCAATAAAAATAGGAGTTTCTTAAAAGCTTCCTCCAAGAACAATACTCAACATTTGCTTCACACCTTTGAGGAGAATAATAGCTTGATGAAAAAGCAATAATCAGTAAACTCAAATGTATCAGAGATACATGTGGACGTACAAAAAATAAACAGAGAACCTAAGGAACTTACAAAACCCTAAACCCTTATTTTTCACAAGGTCTTACAATAAAAACTATGCTTAAAAACTAGGTCTGGGACGACTTCTTATATAAGCTTCTGTAGTTCGGCTTGGATTGTCTTCGATTCTTCAATAAACTCCAATCTAAAAAATCTCTGTAGAATATTCTCCATAAAAATAGAAACAATTTTCATAAATAATTTCCTCAAAAGTCTAAATCGATCCTTTTTAGTAACCAATCAAATTTGCACTCGTCTCTACCAAAATACTTGATTGGCATGCGCCTAGGATGAGTACATAATATTCCAGATACTCATATCTTCAAATTAAATCTTCAAGGATATCCAAAAGCAGTGCATGATGCATCAGCTTCAAGATGTCACAATATATTCAGTAACATTTGGCAAAAAAACTCATAACAGCAAAACCTTTTATGACAATTGATAAAGATGGTGCACCATCTTACTCAACACCAACATAGAACCATGCTTAGCCAAAATTTAGCCAACCATGGAACTAACAATACACACTTATAATGTAAGACAATATTGATGGCTAAATTGATTTTATCATCACATATTTCCCTACTTTTACACAATGATTTACCTCTCCAAGAGTTTATTCTTTTCTAAATGTGATCCTTAAAAAAATTAAAATTCACATTTTTACTTCTACCAATCATCGATGGTAAACCCTAATACTAACTTATGCCTAACACTAGACGAACTCCCATTAAACTAGCAATATCCTCTTGGGCCGGTCTACTAATATTACGACTAAAGAACGCTTCAGACTTAGTTAAATTTATCTCTTGGCCCGACGCGTCTGCATAAATATTAAGTAACTTCACAAGATGTGTAATATTTTTTTGTTTAGCCCTTCAAAAGAAAAAGCAATTGTTATAAAAAAGAAGATGGGACATGATAGGTGTCCCCTGCAAATCTGGACTCCGTGAAGATCCCCTTGAGACACCGCTCTTTTGATAAGAGCAGAAAGACCTTCTAAAATAAGGATAAAGAGATATGGAGATAGTGGGTCCCCTTGTTTCATTCTTTTTCCTTGTTGGATTGGTCCCATAATATCCATATTGACTAGAACAGAGTAATGCACCAAAGTGACACATATCATTATCCAATAGATCCACCTCTCTGTGGAGCCCATTCTTTGAAGAATACCTCTCAGAAAACCCCAATTCACCCTATCATACGCCTTACTAATATCAATCTTAATCTCTAGATGTGCCTTATTTACTTTAGTCTTCCTCTTTAAGGCATGGATAATTTCAATACCAATCATAGCGTTATCAAGAATAGAGAGACCTTCCACAAACATCGATTGTTCCTCTGAGCTTTGAAAAACCGAGAAACTAACTCAATATCATGCCCCATAAGATAAGTTTCCATCATCTTCATATAATCAGTCAGCTCTTCTTTCTTCTTCCTATTTTTCATTCTATTCCACCTCACCAGTTCCCCCACACATGTTGTTATACGATGCATTACCTCACTAATGTCACCTTGTTGCCACTCATGTGTAACCACCTCCTTAATCTCATCCTTCAACCAACTATTTTAAAATTTAAAATAATGTTTGTTGCGAAATCTATGAACAAGTTCACACTGTAACAGAATCAAACTGTGATTTGGATAAAAAGTTATCAAGTTAGCAAGCTTAACAATTAGGAAATAATTCCATCCAATCAGAATTTTCAAGTGCTCTATCCAAACTCTCCTCAAATACATGGTTTGTTATATGACTTTTAAACCACATAACCAGATGATATTTCATCGGGATGTTTGTTAGATCATAATCACTAACAGTCTGACAAAACCTGACACACAACTAATTAGGATGAAGGTGAACGTCGAGTTTGTCCTATTGCAATAACATGTCATTAAAATCTATGATGATACACCATGTAACGTTCGACATATCTCTAAGATCATGTATCATATCCCCCGCTTGTATTCTTCTATTTCTCTAAGGATAACCATAATAGAAAATTAATCTCCACTCCACTTTAGTATCATCTTGAACCAACAGATTAACGAAGTTCCTCGAGAAGTTCATGATACTACACTGTATTGTGAAGAATATGTTCATCATATATTTTAATTTATTTTTTATGAAGACAAAATTTTATCAAAAAAAAATATATCAAAGAAGAAAACGCTTGGAATCAAGAATGTTTAAGTTTATGAATATTTTTGGAAGTAAAGGAAATTGATCTTAATGTTAAGGTAATAAATTGCAATTCATTATGTATACAATTTAGATGTTCAAAATATTTTATACTTTTTCATCTCAAAAGTTCTCAAATTATCATGAATAAAAATCATTGATTAAAATGCATAAAAAGTTTAATTTTTAAAAAGTTGTCAGCACTTTTTAAGTCAGGTCTGTTTCAATTTTTAAGTCGATAATGGTTAACTAACTTCAAAAAAACTATTTCTATTTGAAATTTGAAAAATTATTTGAAATTCAAAAAACATTCTACACTTGTTAAGTCGAGTATCCATTTAACCGACTTAACATAGTATAAAATTGTGTCTTTTCATGAACCATTATCATTCTAAACTATTGCAAACCTTCATGAAAATCTCTCAAACTTTTGCATCAATTCAAAGAGGTTCCTTAGAATATATTCAAAGAAAAATACATTAATTTTCAAATAAAACTCTTTCATTATTAATTTTTCACATCAATTCAAACAATTTTCTAAGTGTTCATATACTTTTAAAATGAAACGTTGTTCATAAACTTTCACATAATTTAAACATGTTTCATTCATATCATTTTTAACACTTAAGTGTATATGTTGGTATTGTGATCAAAGAGAAAGAGGAGTGCCAAAACTTTCATATATCTTGTAATGCAAGCAAGTCAAAATAGATACAAACTCAAACATGTTAAATATGTATTATTGTGATCATTAAGTTGTTGGTAATTATTGTAAAAAGGTCCTTTGAATTGGTTTGATTAAAAGTCCGCCATAGTTGTTGGTAATTGTTATAAAAAGGTTTTTTGAATAATTTTAATTCAAAGTCCACCATAGTTGTTGGTGATTATTGTAAAAATATCCTTGTAGCAGTAGAAATGTTTAGACTAAGCCATTTGATTGACTTAACTCACAAAATCAGTGAAAGTCACCACCGCACTTTTATTTTATCCAAAGGAATGGGAAAAGTGTGAACAAACCCAAAGTAAAATAGAAATCGAGATAAGGGAGTTTGTTATGTAAAGGGTAGGTGTTAGCATCCTAAACATCTACGGTACTCCGCGAGAACCTCTTTGAAAACCTGTGTATTTTGGCTATACAAGAAATATTTACAAAATAGATGGTGGAGATGAGAAAAGAAATGGTTTTTACAATTTTTGCACCTGCCGCAGTTGCGAACCTTTTGTGCCTACATACCCCTTCGTACAATAGAGGATCAGGACACTCGTAGTTCTTCTTAAAAATTTTGAAAAGTTTTGTGTGTTGGTTAATTTTAAGAAAAAGGTTTTAAAGAGAAAAGTCAAAGCGGAAAAAAGGTTTGAATGAGGTTAATGACTTTTAGTTTTTCAAAAAGATGTCAGAGTATGATTAAATTGATTAAAATTTAATTAAGAAAAAAGGTTTTTGAAAATGCATGGACCTAAGTCCTAGTTTTTTATGAAAGCGGTTCAAGTTAGTAAACAAGAATCCTTTGAAAATGGGAGGATATTTTGAAAATTAAAGAAGAATGGGAGGAGATGAAGAGACTATCCTATATACAAAAATTAAAAGTTAAGGTAAGGAAAGGTCTAACTAAATATGAAGTCAACACTTGACATTATGAAGTCAATATAGAATTCTCATCCTTTGGATTAAAAGTCACAAGTACCAAATAGACCAGGAGCATACCAATCACCCATGTGAAAATAAATCACAAGCAAAGGAGTATCAAAGAAACCCTAAGGGTTTAAAATCCAAATCAAGGTCTTCAATATTGAGCCATGTGCCATATAGATTACTTAAGGCCAACAGAATAACACCTACACATAGAAGATTTTCCAATACAAGCAAAATAACAATGAAATAACACAAGGTCTAAAGGTCTCAAAGTGTCAATGCAAAGATCCCAATCCTAATTCCAAGAGGTCCACAACTCCAATGTGTCAAGGATAGTAACCAATAGTCCATAGAGAGCCTTGAGTCTCTTAATGTTAAAGTTGGTTATTAAGCGTCTTAAGAAGAAAAAGAAAATCTCAAGTGAGCATAGATAAAATGATATCAAATAAATGCTCAAGTGAGAAAAGATAAAATGACATGAAAATAAATGCTCAAGTGAGAAAAAGGAAAATGACATGAAATGTAAATGTTAATGATAAAGTGCATAAAAGTAAAGGCATAAAGATAAAGGCATAAAGTAAAGTTAATTGTTAATGGTTAGTAAGTTAATTGTTAATAGTCACAAAGTATGATCATTGATGATTGAATGATGATCTTAGACCAAGGATAATGAAAACTCATTAGAGGATTGATAAAATCAAAGCCTCTTAACAACAAGTTTCATAAGTATTGGACTAAAGATAATCAATTCACCATACTTGGGCTTACAAACATAAAGTTTGGGCCACGAATGATCATTTTCTGAATCGGAACAAGTTGAACGCTATGTTAAGCAATCGTAAGTGGACTTACGTAGAAGTCACACCTATTTTGAGGTCGATCAATAGCAACGTATGTATTATACATGTTAGAGACATGGTAAAAACCAAGCTCCTAAAACATGTAGCACAAGTAAAAAATAAATTAAAGAAGAAGGTAGATGATGAAGATATGGAATGCATAATAAATGATCAATGATGATCAAAGATTGAACTTAGTTCAAAATTGATGAAGACTTGTTAGAGGATTGATAAAATCAAAGTCTCCTAACAACAAGCTTCAAAGGTCTTGAACAATGGTTCAATAATTAATCATACTTGGACAATTTCAAGTCTAAAGTTTGGGCCACTAATGACCGCTTAAGAAGAAATTAAGAAGGGAATGAGTTGAAAGGGAAAGGGGGTGTCACAAGTACACCAAAATATGTTCACACATTACCAAGTCAGAACTAGACAAAAGAAAAAGAAAAAGAAAGTAAAATAATATATAAAACATTTTTTTTAAATGATTAATTAATTGGAATTTATTGATGAAATTAATAAAGTGTATCAAAACACCAAATAAAAATCCCAAAAAAATAACCATAGGTCAAACATGAGTCACCAAGTGTTGAAATATTTATTTATAATTTTTGAAAGTCATAAACTAATTTTAAAAATGCAAATATTAAGCTAAAAGATCTAAAATCAATGAAAAATAGAAATCTAAAATGTAAATAAAATCACCAAATGTGTAAAATCATCATTGGATCATTTTTTTTTGGAATTTTTAGAGAGTTAATAATATTTTCAAATAATAAAAAACAAATGAAACAAAGAGAAAATTCTAAAAAATATCAAATCACAAAATAAATTTGTGAATAAATTATTTTGGTATTTTTTGAATAAAAAATGAAAGAGATATTGATTTTTGAAATTAAAATGAATTTTAAAATTAAATTTGTAAAATAAAACAAATCATAAAAACCTGAGCCGTCAAATTTGAGCTCATTAATTGAGCTGGTGGATCTAAAGGCCATAATGCGTGCTTCCACCATGTGCTTCAGTCAACTAGCACGCATTTGATTCAAAAAAGTCCAACCAACTAAATTAAAACAATTGGCGTGCCTTCATTGGTTGAAGATGACACATTGGTCATCTTCAACCTCCAGACGCCTGCAACAAGGGAAAAACAAATATTCTTCAATCCATAAATTTACGCTTTCATAGTGGTGCCATTAGACGCGCCTATTCAAGACGATCTCAATCATATGCTCAAGAAAAATTTATTTAAATCAAAACTTAGTCGTTTTGGATTTTACCAGAGAGAAAAGGCAAAATGAAATTTGAAAATTCAAGTATCAAATTACCCTGGAAATTCAAACCAGAAAAAGCACACGCTTCAAAGAAGAAGGGACTACATCCAAACATTTATTTGAGATGATTTGATTGAGAAATCTACATGAACAAAGTTCAACTTGTAAGCTCTAAAAATAAACTTCCGTGGCTTGATTCTATACTCGAATTGCTTGGTTTTTATTGTGAAAAGATTGTATGATGATCAAGAATGAAGAATCAGAAAAGACTTTTGAGAAAGAAGGCTTGAAATGTTGAAACGGATTTTCAAATTTCAAGCTTCGAGTGTGACTTTGGCAGGGTGATTATGTCAAGAAGTGTTGACAAATTTTTATAGAATTTTAAAAGGTCAGATACTAAATTTA